CTTAAGCTTTATTCATGTGTTTAAACAGACCTGGAACTCTCCATGACTTCCGCAGTCACGAGGTTGCAGATCAGCTCACTCTTCTTGATGCTGAACTTTTCTATAAAATTGAGGTAATGTAATTTCCCCCCTCCTTCTTGGTTTTAACTGTGTTTTACCACAGAGCTCTATTAAATACAAAGATATATTTCAACTCCTCTTTGTTTTCCTTTAGATTCCTGAGGTTCTGCTTTGGGCGAAGGAGCAGAATGAGGAGAAGAGTCCAAACCTGACTCAGTTCACAGAGCACTTTAACAACATGAGCTATTGGTAAGATCTAGAACCAGAAGTCATTATCAGATTCTGATATGCTCAAATCAATACCCTCCTTCTCATAACTGGAAACCCTGGACATTTATTTATTTTCTTCATAAATGCTGACACCTCAGTGATTGATTTTCCTCCACTGCAGGGTGCGCTCTTTGATAATTCAGCAGGAAAAAGCCCAAGATAGAGAGAAGCTGCTTCTCAAGTTCATTAAGATAATGAAGGTAAGTTAGTTTCCATTTAAAATATATATGTTTGCCATTTTTTAAATTTCACTTAACATTAATTCTGTTTTATTACAGCACTTAAGAAAGTTGAATAATTTTAACTCCTACTTGGCGATACTGTCCGCCCTGGATTCAGCCCCCATCAGGAGGTTGGAGTGGCAGAAACAGACATCAGAGGTGATTAAAAAAAAATTGGGGGAAAAAAAATTAATAAAAAATGTCAAGATTAATGTTGCTATAATTTGTCTTTCACTCTTTACATCATTTACACACGGTGCTCAAATTGTTTTCTTAAGGGATTGGAGGAGTATTGCACGCTGATCGACAGCTCCTCGTCCTTCAGAGCGTACAGAGCTGCTCTAGCCGAGGTGGAGCCTCCGTGCATCCCATACCTGTGAGTACATGTATCGCGTCAGACTGGTGGAGATCTGCTGCTCAACCACAGCTTAACTCTCATTTATTATCACCTGCAGCCAAAAGAGGATAACTTATTTCTTCTTGTCTAAACGTTTGTTCGTCTGTCTGATTGCAAATTATCTCATGAACTACTGAATAAATTTAAGAGACTCAGAATGAAAGCAATGGACGTACATCTACAACCGATTAACTTTTGGAGTCAACATGACTCAAGATGGCCACCACAGCTAATAGCGTTTTGCAAGTCCAAAACTGGCTATAGTTTAGTTATTTTTACAGACATTGGACTAAAATTTGGTAGTACCATATTTTACGCCTTATAAGTCACAGGTTTTTTGTATAATTTACATGCCCTGCGACTTATAGGCCCGAGCGACTTATTTATGGATTTTTTCCCATATTTATAAACCAATTTTTGGCTGAGATATTACAGTTTTCATTCATTCTGACTGAAAAAAACATTGAGCAGTACCACTTTCAGCCACTTGATGGCAGCAGAGTATTAGTAGCAGTAAGGCATGCCGTTGTATCATGTAATAGGTTAATGTGGATATAATGACAAATTAAAAAAAGTTCAAGACAAAAACTGGACTTTTTTTGCTGCGCTGCCCCGGCAAAATGCAGCTGATTTGACCTTCAAAGTGCATTTATTAAGTAAAAGTTCAACTGAGACACACCTTTACTATAAACTTAAGCAAACAAATAATTGTTTTTAAGTGTTAATCTAGTTAAATTCTTGTTAAAAGTCCTTCCGTCCATGCTCCCACGGCCACCATTTGGCAGCCAATCAATTTCTGGCACAACACCAGCCCACATTTCCGGGTTGTCAGCGGTGATGCGTAACAAACATGATGCGTCAGCGGTGATGCATAATGGATGCGACGTATACGGCGAAGCGATGTATTTATGGATTTTCCCACTTTATTAAGACATATTTGGACTGATGCGACTTATAGGGCAGTGCAACATGTACGGCGGAAAATACGGTAGTAATAGGTGAGCGAATCATACTCTGAGCACTAAAAAAAGATCTCATAAAATACAAGCGGTTGTGCATAACATTTTAATCAAAACGGCTATAATTCTGTCATTTATCAACATAAGACAAAAAATCTGGTTTAGGCAGCAAACAATAAGCATTCCTTCAAGACATGCAGTTCTGTAATTTTGCTTTTTTTTTTTTTCCACCTCCACTTTGCAGAGGTCTCATTCTCCAGGACCTGACGTTTGTGCACTTGGGGAACCCTGACCTCATCGATGGGAAGGTCAACTTCTCCAAACGCTGGCAGCAGTTCAACATTCTGGACAGCATGAGGCGCTTCCAGCAAGTGTAAGACCATTTCAAAAATTTTTATTCAAAAAGATAAAACTATTGTCAAAAACTTGTACCCTAAAACATATTTTCACTGAGTTGTATCGGTCATGAACGTCTTCATTTATCAAACCAATCTCTCAGGCATTATGAGCTTAAACGCAACGAAGACATCATCTCCTTCTTCAACGACTTCAGCGACCACCTTGCTGAAGAGGCCCTGTGGGAACTGTCGCTGAAGATCAAACCCAGAAACATCACCAGGCGCAAAACAGATCGTGAGGAGAAGACCTAGGGCCTGCGGGCCTCTGACACTGACCTCCAACTGTGCTTCATGACACTAACTCCACTTTACTACAGACTGAAACGCGGATGGGAGCTATCCACTGAAGCTAATGGGAGACTCGTCATGGGAAATCCAGAACAAACTACACCCAACTAAAGCATCACTGAGGTTTACAAAGAGCTGCCGCTCCGAGAGATTATAATTGGGATTACTGTGGCTCTGACATGTTGACTGGGAGCAATTAAGGTGAAACCAGGGAAGAGAAACCCGGTGCCAATGAGAGGCAAGGAATCAGAGCAGACAGAGAGACACTAATTACCAAAGTCTGCTCCCTGGACTCTGTTTTAGAGTGACGCTCTTTTGTGTGTATGAGAATGAGCTGAATGGTCCATTTTATTTTTCAAGTCCCTCTTTCCTTTTCATTACGTGCCATTTTGCTGGTCATCCTCTGCAACCTGAACTAACAAGTTCCCCTCAAACAGCAGCACCTCAGGAGCAACCTCCTATGAACTGTACCATCCACATGCAGGCTGCAGACTGAGGATCTGCTGCAGACTGAGGATCTGCTGCAGACTGAGGATCTGCTGCAGGCGTCGGGGGATTTGAACTTGAAAATGGGGTGGCCGCTATAGACTGGAATTCGAGTTTGTTTTGACATGTTTTCCGTGTAAGAATCATGTATGGTTATGACATGTATTATATACAGTGCTCCTTTTGTTCTTAAAAAGGACGTTTATGCTTATGAGAAGAGCTTAGCTTCTCCCAAGTGCCATATGTATGTGCACTAAAAAAGCAAAAACATGAAAAGACGAATAACTAAAGATGCTGTGATCTATGTACGTCATAAAGAATCATCGTGTCCAAGTGTAGAGAAACATCAGGCAATCACAATTATGTCCCACGCATAGCAGTGTGTGAAAGAGTATGTGACTGAAGTCCTCAGGGACTTGTGTGTTCGTCATTTCAACATGTGCTGTAGGTATTCATCCATTCCCTTTTTTGAGGGAATAATGGTCAAAGCCAACACATCACACTGTGCTCTCAAACTACAATAAAACAAATGGCTCATTTTTTATAAGCACCTTCTTCTCTGAAGATTAGTTATTTTCATGAGACCGACACTGATATATAGTACCTTTATAAAATAATTTAGAGTGATTATAATACAGTGAGTGGGGAAAACATAAGGCAGACAGAACATTAAACAGCTGCTCAAGCTTGTGTAGCGTGTTAAGATATGCAGGACATGCAAATCAGGGGTTTTGTTTTGTGAATATATTTGACTGCAGTGCTTTTTTAATTCAAACTAAATGGTACAGAGTTCCAAGCTTTAAATTGCAGTGAGGTGCTCTGTAGCTGAACTTGCATGCAATTCTCTCTCCTTGTCATCTTTTCTGAGTTGTTAAAGTAGGTTAGTTGCAGTCTTACTCCAAGTGTTTGACATTTGAAATGTAAATGGGCAGTTTGGACCAGCTGTAATTCATCACCAGTGTGATTTTTAGACCTGTTGCCTCTAGTGGTGTTGTCATAAGGACAGCGCTGGTGTAGGTGTCAAAAGACAATTATAGAATTACAGAAAAATACTGAGAAAAGTTTGAAGTCCCCGCAACAATTGATTATTTTGAAAAAAAAACAACAACTGTCAAATCTTTTTGGATATGTTCAGAATTTAACAAACAAGACTGCAAAGCCTCTTTGACTCGCGTGAGGAAACTAAGAACCCCTGCAAACGTTACAAGTAATTCTGATAACTCCCAAATGAAAGTCGTCCATAAACTAGTCCAACAGTTCCAGCCCAGTGAGATGCTACCTGTAGTTATTGTTGACCTCATGGACCAAGCCAAAGACCCTGACAACACTGAGGGAGAGAAAGGAATTCTTTGCATGCAAGTTCATTTTACATAAACAAAGAGCCCCTCGCTGCAGTTTTAATGCTTGGAGCTCCTCTGACAAGAAGCAAAAACAACAAAAACCCAGTTGTCTTTGTATAAAAAAATCCCCTTAAAGCTGCCCATCTAGCTTAAATCTGAACATAAATTATAAAAACACAGTATCAACAAGATAACATTTGAAATATTAAAATACACTATTAAAGAACTATATGATCACACTCTAAAGTGCAAAAGCATGACTAAAATTAAACTTCTAAATATTAAATCTACCCTCAGTTATAAGACCTATTGTAATAATCACTCAATGACAATTTAGATAATTATACGTGTATGTATATAAAAAAAACTATTTAAGGAAGACCGTTTTTAAAAATGCTATAAGAACACTGGTTACATTGCAATTATGATGAAATAAAAAAGTTGCAGATTTGGACATTTGCAACATGGGGTTAACATTTTTAAACCTAGCAAAGGCGACAGTTTCTGACCCTTTCTGCAAACAATAGCAGCAACTCTGACTCAAATTCTAGTCTAAGTCTTTACATTTCCATACACTCGTACGTATCAGTGGGGCCGACTGCTGGGCTCCAGCAGAACCCTCTTTGTTGGCGGGTTGGATCCGTTCAGCAGATCGCCCTGCTCAGAAGTCACCCGCTTGCAGCCTCGTCCAGTAGAAGATGCACGCTGCCATTTGCAAATGTCACCGTTCAGAATGTCTTGGATGTGCTGCACGATGAGGTTGATGGCCACTGATAAGAGACACAAAATAATAATACTTTACATTACAGATCTCACCAAAAGCTTTTTGTTTCTATATTAAAGGTGACTCACCCATATTATCAACTCCCCTTGGAATGATGACGTCTGCATATTTCTTGGTCTGATCAACAAAACAAAAATGCTTTAAAATACAGTGAAGTTACTGAAAACAACTACTGTATATAATCAGTAATGGTTATACTCACAGGCAAACAAAACTCCTCAAAAGCAGGCTTTACAAATGTTGTGTACTGATTGAGAATCTGATCCAGGTCTCTCCCTCTGCTCATGTCTCGAAGGACTGCAAAAAGTTAGGTCACACTTTTCAAAGATGGTAAAAAAAACTGGGATTCAAGTACAAGGGAGACGTGTACCTCTGCGAGACAGACGAACATCTGAATCCGTGTCCACAAAGAGTTTCATGTGAAACATTTCACGCACTTTCTGGGGGTAGAAAACCAGGATTCCTTCAAAGAGGACCACATCCGCTGGGTAAAATGTGATTCTGTCTTCCAACCTATGAACACACAAAAAGCTCTCGGACTAAAGAGAAATACAAAAAAAGGGAAGAGGACATTTTACACCAAGATCTTTTCATAAGAAAAGGATTCATACCTGGAGTGGGTGACAAAGTCGTACGTTGGCACTTCAACCACGTTCCCTTCCACAATGTCCTTTAAAGTTTTGTACATTAATTCATTGTCAAATGCCTCTGCAAGACATTTAAAAGGAAAAGTGGATTTTAGTAATACAGTAGCCAGTCTGCTATAGGAGGGAACATTTTATCAGTCCGATCATTACAATTCTCATCAGCAAGAATACTATTAGCAGGTGAGAGCACCTTTATAAAAGTCAGTGATTTGTTAGTTACGCAGGTCCAAAGCATCGGGATATGCGTTCAAACCAGTTCAAGGAGTAAAGACAACAGCATTTCCTACTCATCAGTCAAAAAAGGATTATAATGGAATTTTTAAAACTATAGGGAGCCCTTTGACTGCAAAGAGAATAAATATTTTAGGAATGGACATCCCAGCGATTTATCCCTAAGTTGAACCATGCAGTGCTCAAAGAAATTGCAAAATCACAGAACTTTAGACAAATATGAGGTCATCTCTGAAAAGTTAAACCTTGGGCCTCAAACTGGGTCATGCAGTGACCTTAATGACAATGTGCTTAAGCTAAGCAGGAAATAGATTTGCTGTGTTGCTTGTTTTCAATCCACCAGAACAAATGGTAAAGAAAAATAAAGTGTTGCAATGCCCCAGTCAAAGACTGGACATCCGTGCTACAATGCTAAGATGGGATTTCAGGAGAGCTGTTTACAAAAGCTTCAATAAACTAAAACATTTTTGTATGAAAGAGAAGATCAAGACTACTCCATACTGAAATGGACTGCCAGAAGAGGATTATCATTAGACAGACATTGCTCTTTAAAGGGTTTTTCATCACCTCTTAGTGTTTCATGATCCATCGTACGGTCTTGATAAGGAACCACTGCCCAATAGTACAACACTCCGATCCATCCCACATTAAATGAAGCCAAATAAATTAACTCATCAGGGGAATAAAATCCAAATACCAACCAGCTGCGGATACAAAATCTACTAGTAGGGAAGAGGATCTTTCAGCCAACAATTGTGTGTATAGTCTTTTGCTGCTGTTTGTGAGGTGCCTCTTCACAGATTAAAGCAGTGAGTAAATGTCTAAATTTTAGACTACTTTTTTCCATTTACCACAATTTAAAGAAAATTAGCATGTAATAAAGTAGCGCTTAGATACACAGAGAAAGATGAAAAAGTACAGTTACAGTATGGTCCGGTTCTGTAATGTATCACTAACCGACAACACCGGTTTTACCTGGGTGATCAAAGTTGTACTGGCCTTTGAGAGCTTTGGTTTTCTGATCTGGGGTCAGGACTTTGTAGAAGCTGTCCTGGCTGATGATGGCTACCTTCCTCTGGCGGTGGTCCACCTTGTTTTGGCCAAGAAGCTCCATGATCTTGGCGCAAACAGTAGACTGTAAATGGGGAAAAAAAGAGCTATTGTCAATATCTGAAAGCAAGGCTGCCATAAGTCATGGAAACGCTACGAGAAAGAAAAAATAAGAAGCCATCCCATCACTGAGCTCGTTTTGTGTTAGCTGTTAAACTTGACGCAACAACAACAACAAAAAGTCGCAAAGCAGAAATGACAAAACTGTAACGATTTTAAGCAACATAACAGGTGCATTAGTGAACTATTACAGATACTAAACAAGTGGGTGTGACAATTACTATGACAGTTTAATGAATGTCAATCATTGGCACCCCAATGTTTGTGTGCTACGAGCTAATAAACAAATACGTAATTTCACATGTATAATAAATTAGACCTTTCCACTGGCCGTTCCTCCGCTAACCCCAATCAAAAACGGGCGATGTCTTGACTTTTCCGCCTCATCAATGACTCCGGCAGTATTCATTGCGCTCACACGGATAATACAAACTGCAAAACACGATTTTGACAGCAGACTAGCCAGCTAGCAGCTCAATCGCAGTTCTCGCGAGATGACGCAATGTGATGGCGTCATCACTACGCGCCGCGTTAAAAAAATGGCAACTATCATGCAAAACTTAAAACGGAATTTTACTTTTACGCCATTTCTAAATATGGGGCTCCCACTTAGCCTCGTATTGCCGTGTTATTACGGTCGGGTACCCGTATTAAGACTTAGCTCCATGTTCCACTGTCCCCGGGGGACAGTGCAGCTCCCTTCACATTATCGACAAATGTTTCGTTTCTTACCTGTTCACAGGAGTGAAACTCATTTCAGCTCAAATTTTAGAGGATTCTCTTCTTCACCGCCTGCCAAAGAAGACTCTGTTGGGAAAATCCAGTCAACCCATTATCATCTCATCTACACATGCAAGGTAATCACCACAGGTCTATGATCTAACTTGTGCCGAGGCCAAGGTGTTCAAAGAGTCATTACGAAACGACCTGGCTTTTAAATTCCAATCTGACAGCTTGGTTAAAGGTATATTTTACTATCTACACTTCACTGGAACTGTAGACGTTTAAAAAGATACTCTTTATATTGTATTCTCAGTTTCGTTATGACCCATTATTGTACCTGTTTGCAGGTTTGCTCCACCAGGTCCACGCAGAAAATCTCTAAACTGGCTTACCATAAAGGTGTGGTGATCGTGACATGTCCAGAATGCAAGAATCATCATATCATCGCTGACAACCTCAACTGGTTTTCAGACCTAGAGGGAAAAAGGTTGGTGATTCTGTGGTATTCTCTTTTAGAGCACTGCATTAAGGCAGCCTGACTGAACTACTGTCAATTCACTGGACTGAACATGTTAAAACCTCTTTTTGATCTATTTTTATGAACAAATCATATCTCCCAAAGCGATGATTTTACTACATCTTATAATTAAGACGGGAAAGACACAACCATGATCATATTTTTAGGAGGAATGCCTTTTCTAAACAAAAAGTGTCATTGATCTGTAACAATATTCAGCCATTAAACATTAATACTAAGAGTGTTGAAAACGTTTCATTCTTAAATCAAGTTTAAACATGTGCTTTTTACTGGGATCGTGTGTCTGGTGGTATTTAACTGTACTTGGATGAAAAAGCTCACTGCTTCTAGGAAAACAATCCAACGGAAAACCTCACTGACTTATTTTATTTGAAAAAAAATAATAATAAAAAAGGTTTTCTAAGAACATTGTTCCAAAATATTGAAGTTAAAGTTAACATAACATTTCCTAACATTTTGTTAAAATAATACTTTATTCATTGTGTACAACTCGGATTACTGACTATTCAAAAGTAACCAACAGAATCTAATCTAATTCTCTGAAGTGCACAAGCTGTTTCAAAATGAATAGGAAAATTTGAAGTTTAAGATTAGCAATTATTTTAATACTCTTCACATCTTGTGCTGTTTTCTGTTTCAGAAACATTGAGGAAATCCTTGCTGCCAAAGGAGAGACTGTGAAAAAGATTGAAGGAAGTTCTGCTTTGGAGATGGTGGTGAATGAATCCAGCACAGAGGAGACACAGCAAAGTGACAGCATGAAAAAAATTGACAAGAACTCAGAAAATGTAAAAGAATGATCCAGGAAAACTTTTTAAAATAAATTTTTTCAGCTTCTCCCTTCCTCAGGCGTTGCCAAAGTGAACGTAGTCGCACAAAGACTTGACACTTGTTTTTATGCCTGATGCACTTCCTGTTTCAACCACAGACCACGAGCTACCACAGCTCTCTGTGTGGAGCAGAGAGCTGCTATCTAGGGTGCCCGGGGGAGCAGATGGTGGTGGTTGAGGGTCTTGCTTAAGTGCCCAGAGTGGGGCAAATAAGGGTGGAGGCAGGTGTGGGTGCTTTACCTTTCCCACCCACATTTTGGTGTTATCGGCCCGAGGAATCAAGCCAGCACCCTTCCGATCACAGGCTCGCCTTCTCGAATCTCTGCTCCACCAGTCCTCCATAATTTGTTTGTTACTGTACAATATATTTGAAAGATGCATATATTAAATTTTACAATAAATATATATTTTTTGTTTTAGTCTCTTGGTTTTGCCAATGTAGCAAGCAGAACGTACACAGTGGGAACTTGTGGGTACGTTACTGAGTAGCTGGAGATCTTAATCACAGTTTTGACTGTCCTCAGTGGTAGTTTCATCGATAGAAGGCGGGGTCTGAAGGTTTTGGGTAAGGCAATCATTATTGACCCACAGAGCTTCATTCCCTACCTTTTATACCCAATACCTGGACACCTCCCACACCCAGAATAGTAAGATGTGTTTTCACATGTTAAATTAAAGGTGTGCCATTTGCCACTTTTATGCCAAAGTTTTAAACTAAGATATTTATTGAGAAAAGAGGAAGTTACTGTTGTTTTGGTGGAACATCGTTATTATTTGTGTGATCTTGTGTAAACTGGGAGACGCTTGAGAGAGGTGTTCATGCTTAGAGTATGTGTTGAGGATGTCTCTGTTTCTACAGCAAATTTTAGCACAATTTCTGTAAAACCAACTAGCAAGTTTTGTGTCAGCTATGGTCAGTTAGCTGCACAGCCATGTTGAATTAGGTTGACAAAAAGTAACAAGCTGTAGATGTCCATCAATGTTTAATATTTGGACGTTTTGATAAAATGCATCCAGTGTTTCATGCGTGAGTTTGCTGCAGACAGAGTTGAGTCCAAACGTTAATGGCAAAGTTTTAAAAACAAACGTACATGATCACCTAATTAGTCTTTATCTCAAATCTACAACATGAAGTAAAAAAAAAATATAATAAAACTATGGGTGAATATCCTGATGCGTGCTCAATAATCCAACAAGGTTAAGTCAGGTCCTCTGGACAGATTCTTTGAAGAATCCATCCAGACTTAACCTTAATAACACTAATTGGCAAAATTACTTTTTATTTAGTAATGATTAAATGAATAAAAGTAAAATAAATAGCAATGCCTTAAAAATAAAAAGGGAAAACGCAAACCAGTAAGATCATGAAACAAAAGCTATAGTCTAAATACGTTTTATTTTGTATTCAGTTTTTATTTTTAAATAGCTTTTTAATTGTGGTCATGATTTGCAGAAGGTGGCACTTTTTCTTTAACAGAAATTGTCAGTACCTATTATACTAGAGTTTTTTGTACTCTAATAAGGGTATGTATAAAAATATTAATAAAATGTCAAGTAACCAACAGCTTCTTGTTTTTCAGTTCATCATGAGACAATCCATTTACCGCAGCATGCACGAATAATCCCATATTAAAACAGGAAATTGTTCTTTCCTAACGATAATAAAACAATAATAATTTTTGGCACGGGCAAAAACATTATATTCCGCCTTTCATGAATTTAGTAGTTGTGATTTTGTTGTGTTTTTTCAAATATAGTTCTGTTTTTTTTCAAATGTTGTTGTGATTTTGTTGTGTTTTTTAATTTACACTTTAGGGCCACCGTAATTTGGTAGACTTTTTGTTTTTTCCACGTTAATCTCCCACTCATTCCACCAGGGGGCGGTACATCCCCTTTAACAAGATACGCCGACTGTCAATACACCAACGAAGAAGAATAAAAACAACACCAACGAAGAAGAAGTCCTCGTCGAGCGGACAGTTCCACTCCGCTCCAGTTTTCTTCGTCTCTCGTCCGCAATGCTGCGAGTCTTCGTTCGGTCCGCGTGTGACCGGCCCACGTCGCTGAGAACCGCTTGAGAAAAGTGTCACCCGTGTGTGGAGGAATGGAGAGACACCAGCTTTGACGGAACTAGTGAGTCATTTTTTGTGTTTTGTCCGTTCGTAACCAACTCGTTGAGAGGGATTTCAATGCCGCAGCGCATTTGTTTGTTGTTTATTGTCAGGAAGCGACTGCTTCCTGTCATCCTCCCAACACTCGACTGGCTCTTCTGAAGGAAACCGACCAAACAAAGGTCGCAATTTTGGTTAAGATTTTGAATAATGTATTATCTTTCCTTCATTCTGGTGTATTTTAACGGGTTGTTAAACATCTACATTTACCTACACATGTAAACTTATTTTTCTTCTTCTTTCGGCTTTTCCCCCTTCAGGGGTTTTCACAGCGATTCATCCTCCTCCACCTCACTCTGTCCTCTGCATCCTCTGTCCTCACTCCATCTACCTCCATGTCCTCTCTAACTGCATCCATATGTCTTCTCTTTGGCCTTCCTCTTTGTGTTTTTCCTGGCAGCTGTATTTCTAACATCCTTCTACCAGTATGCCCACTGTCCCTCCTCTGGACATGTCCAAACCATCTCAGTCTGGCCTCTTTAACTTTATCTACCAGTTGTTCAACATGTGCTGTACCTCTGATGATTTCATTCCTAATCTTATCCATCCTTGTCACTCCTAGGGAGAACCTCAACATCTTCATTTCTGCCACTTCCAGTTCTTTCTCCTGACTTTTTGTCAATGCCAAGTGTCTCCAGACCATACAACACATCTGGTCTCACCACTGTCTTGTAAACTTTTCCTTTGACCTTTGCTGACACCCTTTTGTCGCAAATCACTGAAGCTGACTTTCACTGCTCTTATTTCAAGTAAATACCTCCACCTCTCCAAGTTCTCTTCCACCTGTTCCCTGTTCTCACCACAGATCACAATGTCATCTACAAACATCATAGTTCACGTGGATTCCTGCCTGACCTCATCTGTTAGGCAGTCCATCACCAGATCAAATAAGAAGGGGCTTAGAGTAGAGTTGCATTCTGTCCCAAAAAAACTGACCTGGCCCAGCCAGTAGCCATCATTTCTGAACTTCACCCGACCCAACGAATTAACAGTAATTACAGGTCCAACCCCCCCCCCCCTCCCCGACATTTTAAATTAAGCTTTGACTGCTTATCTAGGCAGACGTGTGCGGCTGATTAAAAGGGGGCAGAAGATCGGAGCTGAGGGGATGTTTGTCCTTTCATGGCTGTCAAAGCACATTAAATCCCTGCTTCTGCCTGCATTCTGCATTATTCAGACACGGACCCTGCTCTGACGTGTCAGATATTTTGGGATCTCGCTTGTTTGGGTCGTCGGGCGCGCACTTCCACTGAGTGCAGCTGAATCTTTTTTTTAAATTACACCACCACCTTCTAAAGGAAAGAACAAAGATGTATCATTTGTTTGAATGTCTTTCTTTACTTTAACTGAACTTTCTTTTACTGCTTTCAAGGCTGGTCAGCGCACTGTCAAATGGACGCATGCGGCTGGTGATTGTATGGCAAGCCATGTTGCCATATAATTGGATCGTAAGCCACGCGCGTCTGCTAACGCAATAAAAAACCCGACATCAGCCCGTCCCGCACATTAAGCACAATATTATGGCCTGGCCCTAATCCGGGTCGGGTTGTACTTGGGCCCGGGTTAGAAATGACAGCTCTAGCTCAGAGCCGATCTTTGATGCAATCCCACTTCCACCTTGAAGATCTGTCACTCCTACAGCACATCTCACCACTGTCCTGCTGTCCTCATACATGGCCTGTACCAGTCTAACATACTTCTCCGCCACTCCAGATTTCCTCATGCAATACCACACCTCCTCTCTTGGCACTCTGTCATATGCTTTTTCTAAATCCACAAAAGACACAATGGAGTTCTTTCTGACCCTCTCTGTACTTCTCCATCAGCATCCTCAAAGCAAAGATGGTGTCTGTGGTGCTCTTTCTTGACATTAAACCATACTGCTGCTCACAGCTAGTCACCTCTCATCTAAGTCTTGCTTCCACAACTCTCTCCCAGATCTTCATCGTGTGACTCATCAACTTAATTCCCCTGTAGTTGCTACAACTCTGTACATCACCCTTGTTCTTAAAAATGGGCACCAGCACACTTCTCCATTCATCAGGCATTTTCCCACTCTTAATTATGACATTGAATATTTAGTCAAAAACCTCATTGCCATCTTTGCAAGATATTTCCAAACCTCCACTGGTATGTCATCAGGTCCTACTGCCTTCCCCTTGTTCATTCTTTTCAAAGCTTTCTGGACTTCACCCTCACTAATCTTTCCCACTTCCTGAGCCACAGTTTCTATGAACTCTACTCTTATTTCTCTTTTATTCTCTTCATTCATTAGCTCCTCAAAGTACTCCTTCCATCTTCCCATCACACTCTCCTCACTTGTTAGAATATTACCATTCCCATCTTTAACAAGCCTAACCTGCTGCACATTCTTTCCAGCCTGATCCCTCCGTCTCAATCGATACAAGTCCTTCTCGCCCTTTTTAGTGTCCAGTCTCTCATACAACTCATTATACGCATTCTGCTTTGCCCTAGCTACCTCCCTCTTTGCTCTACGTCCCATCTCCTTATATTCTTGTCTCCTCTCTTCAGTCCTCTGTCATATTTCTTCTTAGCTAACCTCTTTCTTTGAATAGTGTCCTGCACTACACTATTCCAACACCAGGTTTCCATACATCCATTATCTTTTACGCACTTCTTCCATTTTGGGTCACGTGGGTCACTGGTGCCCATGTCCAGCCACCACTTTGTGAGGGGTGGGGTACACCCTGAACAGGTCTCTAGTCTATCACAGGGCCACATAGAGACAAACAAGACAAACAACCATTCACTCTCACTCACACCTAGGGACAATTTAGACTTATTAGTTAGCCTAACATGTATGTTTTTGGTATATGGGAGGAAACCAGAGTACCTGGAGAAAACCCACTCATGCACAGAGAGAACATGCAAACTCCACCCAGAAAGGCCCCTGGACCGGGATTTGAACTAGGGTAACCTGTTCGCTGAGAGGCAGTAGCTCTACCAGTTGCGCCACCGTGCTGCCCCACCAGGTTTCCTTATCATCCATTCTCTGTCCCGATGCTGCACTAAGAACCTTCCTACCTGTCTCTCTAATTACTGTTGCTGTAGTAGTCCAGTCATTTGGAAGCTCTTTTTAACCACCTAGAGCCTTTAACAGTTCTTTTCTGAACTCCTCACACAACATTCTTCTTTTCTCAGCTTCCACCGTTTGGTTGTCTTCTCTGATTTTTCTCTTCTTCACAACAACAGTCATTCTACACACAACAATCGGATGCTGTCTGGCCATACTCTCCCCTGCCACAACCTTACAGTCTCCAATCTCTCTCAGGTTTCCTCTTCTACACAGAATGTAGTCGACCTGTGTTCTCCTTCCTCCACTCTTGTGGCTCACTCTATGTCCCTCCCTCTTTTAGAAATAGGTGTTGACTACAACCATTTTCATTCTCTTGGCAAAATCCTCCACCACCTGTCCTTCCTTGTTTCTTTCCTTGACACCAAACCTACCCATCACTTCCTCATCCCCTCTGTTTCCTTCACCATCATGTCCATTCAGGTCTGCTCCAATCACCACTCTCCTCCCTGGGAATACTCTCTATCACTTCACCCAGATCCTTCAAAAAATGATCTGCCTCCTCTACATCACATCCAACCTGTGGAGCATAACCACTGACATTTAGCATCAGACCTTCTACTTCTGCTTTCAGACCCATCACCCTATCTGACACTTCTACTACATTCTTTGCCAACTCCTCCTTCAAGATCACCCCTACTCCATTCCATTTCTCTTTCTAGTCACACCATGGTAAAACAGTTTGAACCCTGCTTCAATGCTGCGAGACTTGCTGCCCTTCCACTTGGTCTCTTGGACACAAAACATCTACCTTCCTTCTCTGCATCATGTCAGCCAGCTCTCTACCTTTGCCTGTCATTGTCCACACATTTAGAGTTGCAACCCTCAGTCCTACATTCTTGACTTTCCTCTTCTTCCTCTGTCTCCTGACACGTTTCCCTCCTCGTGGTCTTTAGCTTCGACTTACTTACATATCTAAACACGATTCAATAACTGTTATGAAGACAGATTCCTTATTCAAATGCTGTAGTCCATTTATGCATCATCCTGTGTTAAAACTCACTCATCTGATAATGAAATTAATGTGACACAATTTATCACAAACGACGACTCTAGGGATGCACTTTACGCTGTTTGTTTTTATTTACCGTAGTTTCATTTGTAACACAACATGCCATTTTGCTAATGTTGACACTGAACTGTACGTTTTAAAATAAGAATATTAGCTTTACCCAATGAACAGGTGTAGTTTTGAAAACCACCAACAGTGAATGTGGCTTACATTTTTTTGATTCAGTGATGTTGTTGACTAAAGTTTTAAGGAAAATAGAATTACAAACATATTGCTTGTAAATGGTTACTGTTGTTGCTAGCTTGTAGAGCTGGACTTCAAGGCAGTGGGGACAAATTACACAATTATTAAGCTGATGGTGACTGAAGGGTGTGTTCCCTAATTCTGCTTGGCAAGGTGGAGGAAAGATTTCAGGAGAGGAACGTCAGTCTGAATCTGAAACCCTGACCGGGTGACTCTGTCTGCAGTTTAACTGGACAGCTACTGTACCAAAATAAAAGATTTATCACACCTTAAAGGAGTGCATAGTACATGCCAGAGTTCAGACTAAAATTATCTTATGTTGAGAAATAAGAGTTGAAGCCGTTTTGGTCAAACTTTGTAAATAATATGTCAAGATGTCACACAGAGTATGTGTTGGAGATGATTTTCAACATAAGCTCAGTATCTGTAAGACTGACTGAATTAAAGCCATTTTTGTGTTTTCTTAGGTAGCAGCCATCTTGAATGTGTTTTGACTCTAAAAGCTAATCAGTTGTACATCCAATGAATACTTTCTACTAATTTAGCCTTGCAGTGCGTGATAGCCAGGCTGTTTTCAAATTTGAGATAATGTTGTTTAGTAATCAAAAATGTTTTTAAAGTATTCTGGGTTTTTTTGGTTTTTTTTTTTTTACAAATTTTTATCATAAGAGTCAAGAAGCTGAAAACCTGTATTTCTAGGGTTTTTCAAGGCAACTTGCAGACTTTAATACAGTAGCTTATAAATGAACCAGCCTCACGTTAAAAAAAAAATC